TTTTCAGTTGTTTTCTTCCAAAGGCTCATGGGACTCATTCCCTGGAGTCCTCCACAGCTCAGAAGGAAAGCCCAGATGTAAACAGTCTGAGCTGTACAGATGTTAGCAGAACAGCAGAGCTGTGCTCTGGTTTAATCTCTCTCACAACACGTCATGGGATCTCTGAGGAGGCCCTGAGCTTCTCTATCTGGCTCTATTGTCCCAGTTAGCCAGCCTGGGCATCTTAGCATGCAGAGAGGCACCAAGCTGCAATTGGGTTAGGTCCTTTGTAGTTTTGCATGTATAACCTGAAAATAAAAGTTAGGTTGTAAGGTGCAAAAAAAAAAAAAAATAATTCTAAATATAATTAATATATTCCATAACTCAGACAAACAAGCTCCATTGCAAGGCATCACATTGACAAAATATTAGCTCAGCAATCATTAGTAGGGTCCTTGTTCTTAATCTACTGTCATGAATATGACAGCCCTTTAGACCACTTTCCCCTGAGTTTTATGCATACTGGGTCCCAGCTCCCCCTCATTTCTTCCACCATCAGCTTCCCTTGGACCTAGCCGTGTCAAACACAGATGGACTCCAACTGCCAGATCAAGCCCACAGGGTTGGTCTAGTGGAGGTGCTGCATGCAACATGCCTTCACTGGGACAATATAGTTGGGGCTGGTCCTGCTTTGAGGAGGGGTTTGGACTAGATTACCCCCTGAGGACACTTCCAGCTCCAGTTTTCTATGATTTTTATGTTTTCTATGGCAGCACAAGCATGTTGCATTAATAAGCCACAGAATAATACTATAAAGAGCAATGTGATCAGAGGCCAGGACCCAGTACCCAATTTTAGTTCTCTCAATCTCTCCTCACATGGCTTGCCTTCAACCATTTATCACTTTTGCCACCTATCTCTGAACTTCTCTTATTCATATTCCTAAAAATGTGGAGCCCATAAATTCACACAGTAATGTAGTAGTCACACACTTGCCTGTCTATACACAAATGCCAGGAGCTTGGGGAATAAACAGGAGGAACTTGTCCTCCTGCTAAATGAATATAACCATGATGTCATAGGGATAATGGAGACCTGGTGGGACTCCACCCTTGACGGGGTCACAGGTATAGACTTCTATACCCTGTACAGGAGGGATTGAATGGACAAAAGGGGCGGAGGTGTAGCTCTCTAAGTCAAGTAAAGCTATGCATCCCTCTAGCTGACATTGGCACCCATGGTGGAAGACTTGAGATCCTCTGGGTTAAAATCCATGGGGAACATGGCAAAGGGGATACTATGGTGGGAGTCTACTACAGACCCCATACCCAGGGTCAAGAGCTTGACCAGGAGTTTGCCTGGGAATTGGCTGAGGCCTCACGCTCCCGGTGTATGGTTGTCATAGGAGACTTTAACTACCCAGACATCTCATGGGAAGAGCACTCAGCTGAAGCTGAGCAGTTGCAAAGCTTTCTCTCATGCGTGGATGAGCTCTATCTGATGCAGGAAGTCTTCGGGCCAGCAAGAGGTAAAGCGCTGCTCGACCTGGTACTGGCAACTGGGGGTGACCTAATCAGCAACCTAATGATCGAAGGGAAGCTGGGTGAAAGTGACCATGAGCTGATCACCTTCACCATCTGCCGTAAAGCTGGCAAGTCAGTCAGTAATACAGAAGTCCTTGACTTCAGGAAAGCTGATTTTGACAAGCTAAGGAGGCTTGTCAGTGAGGCCATAAAGAGCCACAACCCAAAGGGAAGGGGAGTTCAGGACGAGTGGTTGCTTCTCAAGGCAGCAGTTCTGGATGCGTAAGCAAAGTCTATCCCGTCTCGGAGGAAAGGCAGCAAAAGGGCACAGCAGTCCCCTTGGCTCTCCAGGGAACTGGTGGACCTCCTATGTCTTAAAAGGAAGACCTACAAAGGATGGAGGACTGGAACCACCACCAAGGAGGAATACTCTGCTGTGGTCTGGACCTGCAGAGAACAAACCAGGAAAGCCAAGGCTGCGATGTAACTCCAGCTACCTACAAATATCAAGGACAATAAAAAGTCCTTTTTTAGATATGTGGAGAGCTGGAGGAAAAGCAAGGGCAACATTGGACCCCTGCTGAAACCAGATAGGACAACTGACAACCGATGCCAATGAAAAAGCAAACTTGCTAAATGGGTACTTTCCATCAGTTTTTCACCAGTCCCATAGGACACCCCTTCCCACTGTGGGTCAGGGATGCCCGGGTGAGGGAGACTGGCCTGGGTGAGGGAGACCATAGTGGAGGGGATATAACTGTAGGAGTCTATTAGAGACCTCCTAACCAGGAGGAAGAGCTTGACCATGACTTTGCTAGGGAACTAGAAGAAGCTGTACGCTTTCAGTGCATGGTCATCATCAGCAACTTCAAGCACCCTGACATCTCATGGGAAGAGCATTCAGCCAAACACTTCCTCACTTGCATTGAGGAGCTCTGCTTGACTCAAGAAGTCTACCAGTCAATAAGAGGTAGGGGTCTGCTGTATCTGGTACTGGCCATAGGGGATGATTCAAGGTTTATTTACTGTAGTTAAGATATGGGCTAATTCTACTAAGTTTAATGTGATCAAACTCCCATTGGATCCCAAAGCACTTCTCTTTGGTAAGTACTGTTTCAGTAAAACTAGATAATTTGGTAAAATCTTATTAATGCCAACTTGAGGTCAAACACTTCATACATACATACAATATCATGAGAACTGGTACCCATCTGTCTGTCTGCCCTACAGAGGGAACAAGAGAAAAAAATGAGGTTGCGTAATAAGATGTCCAACATTTCTACTGTCTCACTGTCTATTCACTTGCACTCCATTGTTTAAATCCCCTACCTATTAGTGATGCAGTTAATAATAATAAAATCACAATTCTATTATTTGAATAATTCTAATAATAATCAGAATCAAAATTAATAACAATAGGATAGAAGGGCTTCAAGAATCATGTGGTTCCCACCCTGCACAAATGCAACAACGTTACTCCAAAATTATCCCTGACCTATGTCCATCCAACCTCTTCTTGAAAACCTCCAATGAAGGAGACTCCACAACTTCCCTGGGCAATCTATTAAATGTCCTCACTTCTCTGAAAAAAGGGTGCTTTTTTTCCTCAAATCGAATCTAAAATTACTTTCCTTAAATTGGAAGCTTGACATCCTTCTCTATGCAGCAATGGAGAACTGTTGATTTTCACCCACTACTGCATGGCATTTATTCAGATATTTCTGTTTTGATGTGCCCCCTTAATTGCCTTTTCTACCAGATAAATATGCCTAGTTCTCTCAACCTCTTCTTGCATGGCTTGTATTCCAACCCGTTATCATTCATGTCACCTATCTCTGAACTTCCCTAACTTTTCAATATATTTTTTTAAAATATAGAGCCCAGAACTTCACATAACAGTCTAGATGAAGCCTAACCAGCAGCATGTACATTGGCACTATAGGATCATAGAAGCATAGAAACATAAAACCAGGAGGGACCTGTGCAATCATCAAGTCCAATCCCCTGCCATGGGCAGGAAGTTATAGGGCTCAGATGTGCTCCTGTCCAGCCTCATCTTGAACACCTCCAAGGAGGCTGACTGCACCACCTCTGCTGGGAGTGTGTTCCAGATTCTAGTGACCCTTACACAGAAGAAGTTTTTCCTCATGTCTAACCTGAATTTACCCTCTATTAGTTTATGCCCATGTGTCCTCATCTTCCTTTGATGTGCCTTCCTGAATAGTTGCTCTCCTAGTTATTGATGCTCCCCCCTGATATGCTTGTAGGCAGTTATCAAGTCACCTCTCAGCCTTCTCTTACTCAGCCTGAACAGACCCAGTTCTCGGAGTCTCTCCTCATAGGGCATACCCTCCATGCCCTTACCCATATCGGTGGCCCGTCTTTGTACCTTCTTGACCTTATCCACATTCTTCTTGAAGTGTGGTGCCTACAACGGGGCACAGTACTCCAGTTGAGGCTGACTAGAGAGGGAGAAGCACCTCCCCAGATCTATTGGCCACACATCTGCTGATGCATGCCAGAGTTTTATTGTCCCTTCTGGCAACCTCATTATACTGTTGGTTTATATTCATGTTCCAGTCAGTTGTGCCCCCGCCCCTGTCTCATTCAGATGCTGTGCCAACCAGAGGATCACCACCCACTGTATATTTGTGGTGAAGGTTCTTCCTACCCAGGTGAAGGACCTTGCACTTCTCCCTCCCTGTTAAACCTCATCTGAATATATTCCACCCATAAATCCGGTCTGTCAAGGTCATCCTGATCTTTGCCCTATTTTCTGGTGCACCCATGTATCCGCACAGCTTGGTAATGTCTGCTGACTTAATCAAAGAACCTTCCACCCCCTTGTCCACATTATTAATGAATATATTAAATAGCACGGTTCCAAGCACCAATCCATATCAACTCCCATGATTTCTAACTAATACTTGTCTTGTTGCAGCCTAAACTGCATTCATGTTTTTGTAGCTACATCAAATTGGTGACTCGTGTTGAGTCTGTGATCCACCAGCTCCCCAAGATCCTTTTCAACAATGCTGCCACACAACCATTTATAACCCAGCTTGTATTTGTGCTTTTAATTATTCTTCCCTATGTGCAACAACTTGCATTTATTTCCTTGGACTTCATCCTTTTGTTTCTAGCCCAGCTTCCCAGTCTATCCAGATACATTTGAAGTCTCTGCTTATCCTCTAAAGTGTCTGCAGTTCATCCCGGCTTCACAAAATCTGGACATTTGCCTATATGCAAATAATTTATTACACTAACTGGTAAACAAAAGTCTTCCATTGGGCATCTTGCAACTGGTGGAATTTATTTTAGGTGGCACAGATGGTAAAATTGATGCATGAAACATTGCTTTCCCACATCAATGGTGTTAACGCATAATGACCCAAGTCAAGTGTTATTCTACGTACAAAACTACAGACTTAACCCATCACCTTTATTGTTTTCATGATATAGTGTGCAACCAACATACAAAAAAAAAGATTTCAGGAGTTAATTATTATTTCTGGAGTATTTTCCATAAAACCTTTTGAGCAGTTTCCTCAGGGCAGCTTGGATCTCCTTGTTCCTCATGCTGTAGATGACCGGATTCATCAATGGAGGCACCACAGAATACAGAACAGCTGCCAGGAGATCCAGAGGGGATGGGGAGTCATGGATGGGCTTCATGTAGGCAATTGCACCAGTGGAAAGAAGCAGGAAGACCATAGTAAGGTGAGGAATGCAGGTGGAGAAGGCTTTCTGATGGCCCCGCTGAGAGGGGATTGTCCACACTGCGGTGAAGATCTGAACATACGACACAACGATGAAAACAAAACAGCCTAAACATAAAAACACACTGAAGGCAAGAGCTGCCAGCTCTCTGTGGTATGTGTCAGAGCAGGAGAGCTTGAGTAGCTGGGGTATTTCACAGAAGAACTGGTTGATGATATTTGAGTGGCAGAAGGGGAGACTAAAGGTGTTCCCAGTGTGCAGTGCAGAGTAGATGACACCAGCAGCCCAAGCACAGACAGTCATCTGGATGCAAGCTCTCCTGTTCATTATTATCTTATAATGCAGTGGCTTGCAGATGGCAACATACCGGTCGTATGCCATAACCGTGAGAAGACACATATTTACTTCCAGGAAGCAGAAGAGACAAAACACTTGGGCAACACATCCAGCATAGGAAATCCACCTGGTGTTCAATAAAGAGTTAGACATGGATTTGGGCACAGTCACTGAGATGGAGCCAAGGTCTAGGATGAATACATTTTTCAAAAAGAAGTACATTGGGGAATGCAGGTGGTGGCTGAGGGCTACAGCTGCGATTATTAGGAGATTCGCCATCAGGGTTGCCAGGTATGCAGCTAGGAAGAGGAGGAAGTGTAAGATCTTCAGCTCCCGAGTGTCAGAAAACCCCAGGAAGAGGAATCCTGTCCCTGTGGTTCTGTTGGACATTTTTCTCCTCGGTGCCTTGTGCAAAGCCAGTGAAGGGAGAACAAAAGCGGCAATCAGGGTCAGAGCAACAAATGTACGGGGTAAGCTCACACCAGCAGTAACATCTCGACCAAAATGTCAAAGGTGCCCATGTGGGACTGCTGGCAACAATTTAGTGGAAAGCGGGTTTTCTGGTGTTTTTCTTGTTACACCTATTATGTTTTCTGTAAAAGTTGTTGCTTGTTGCCATACCTTTTTAAACATCTGGGCCATCTAAAAAGCATATTTCAGGGAAAAAGAAAACATGTAAAAAATTATTTTAATTGATCCTGTAATCATGGAGTCTGTTGTTTCATTGCCTTCTTTCTCCTTCTCCTCCAAGGACTCTCTATGAATAAACCCATCTCCCCATAGTAAACTGGCACACTGATGGGATATAGCCAGACCCAGGAAACAGCTGGGGAAGAAGAACAGTGGCCTGAGGTGCTGAATCAGTCATCTATGATCCATCAGAAACAGCACTGGAATAAAATTATCCATATGCTCTTTTTAGCAGGCAGTAATTCTGCATTTGATATTTCCCTAACAGAAGCAAGGCAAGAACTACAGCAACAGTCAGTGGCCCAGGAACAGCAATCTCTCATTACACAGAGTAGGGTTGTTCATTTTGTGAGATGTCTCCCCTGGGTTGGACTGGACTGGATTCGATCAACTGCAACCCATTTGCCCACATGCTAACTGATGTTGCCAGAGATCTCCAGCAGATGGTTGGGATAGAATTTCCCTTCACAAAAATGATGCTGACACTTCCCCTAAACATCAAATATATCCATGCGACTTCTAATTTGATTCCTACTATATCTTTTATCAAATTCCAGGGGTGAAAAACCTTGGGCTTTAGTTCCCAAGGTGACTTCTGGAGTCCTTTTTTGAAGTCGTGTGTTGTGTTGTTAACCCAAAAATCTTCTAGTACGGGTGCCCTTGCTAGGTGGCATGCTATGAACAGCAGCCCTGCACTTTCACGTTGAAATTCCTACACAACTCTTTAAGGAAATATGATCTGGTCCCAATCACTTGCTTACTGTTTTAATTCATGGATTTGCTTTTAAACCTCCTCCCTTGTCACTTCATTTTGATCTCTCTGCATTTATTCAGTGTGGATCTAGCATGGGCATCTCCCCAGTATTTTCTACTGCCCAGATTACTACCCAGCTTCTGATATACTTTTAAAGAATTCTTTGTTCACAAAACACGTTTCAAGTTCCCTTTTGGCCTTCAAGTTCCCTTACTATGCTTTACAATTAACCTGCTAGAATTGGCATGCTTTCCTGCTTTCCTCCTTGGGCCACAGCTCTACTCAAACCTCTCTTCTCAATACAGTGTTTTAAAGCATTTGCGTTTAGCTGGTAGTGCTGTGCTCAACAAAATGCTAATTCAGCCTCCTTTCCCCTTCCCAGGGGCATGCAGCTGAGCTACAACTAGCATCTAAGTGTCACCTTGTCCTTGCTACCCATTGTCTCCCCTCGTCTCTGATCCTCATTGTCAAGCATTTGCATTTTCACAGACCTGCATTTTACATACTGGTTTCTATTCCATCCAGGGGTTCAGAAAACACCATCACACTCTCCCTACGCCTGAAGAAGGGTGTTTTTGAGCAAAAGCTTGCAAAAAACAAACAAACACATTTTTACAACTTTTTAATTGGTCTAGTAAAAGATATTACAAAGGACCTTGTCCAGAATGATTTTATATTGAGCTCCATGTGCAGATCACCTACCACTGTCACTGCCTAGTACCATCCCTCTGGTCACCTAGACACTGTCTCATTCATCTTTGCCATTTCTGTACAAGGATGGTAAACTGTTTTGTTTTGTTTTTGTCTTACTTTGTGTTTGCTCAGCGTGCTTCTTAGATGCCCCCTGACACAGATTTCGGAGGCGCTAAGAGATGTAAAATAAAACTTGCTGGATATCAACTGTGCCGGTTCCTCCTTCATTCTCCGTGCAAGCATTATTCCAGGGAAAAACAGGTAATTCATGGAGGGGGTTGGAATTGGGCTATTTCTGAGCATTGCTGAGGCTCTGAAATCAGGCTTTGAATATAGAGCTGGAGGTCTGTTTCCATTAAAGTTTCCTGATAAAAAGAAGTATTTTTCTAAACCTAACCTTTGTCACAGTATTTCTATTTCTTCAAAATTGTTAACTTACATAGAAACACTAATATTAAAGCATAAAAAGGTTCAAAGAAGGAAAGAAGAAAATTTGATTTAAAATGTGTTATTTCTGGCAGTTTTGCTTGAAAATATCCAGTTGTCAAAAACTGAAATAATAAATGGGTTCTGGGTGACAAATGGAAATTTTCTGGGGGGAGGTTTTCTCTGGTTGTTTTGTTTTGTTTATCACCCCCGCACTTTTAATACGTTTACATTTTCCTCTACATTTCCAAGTTTATCTCATTTTCAGGTTCTGAAATGACACGGACACACACACACACACACACACACACACACAACTTTTAACCACCCAAAAACATTTCATTGCAACGACAAACTGGCTGCAGTTTACTTACTCAGGTTTTTCCTGGTTTGTGGTCTGATTCTCTAGTCCCAGGAGTCTTTACTTACTTTCCTTCTATCAATCTATATAATTCCCTTTTCCCTAAAACAGTCCTATCTCGGCGTTAAACACTCATGCAGAGAGATAGATCACACGTTTGAAAGAGCCACCTAGATACCACGTGAAGAACTGCTGTAGTACAGAAGAAAACCCCCCACAAATAGCACACCGCTGGTTATGACGTATCACCCCTCCCTTGAACCTGCACGGAAAATCCTCAAAAAATTGCAACCCATACTAGAAAGAGACCCTATTCTTAAAAAGATCTTCCCAGAGCCACCCATCCTAGCCTTCAAACAAGCACCGAACCTCGCCAACCTCATCACCAGAAGCAAACTTCCTCAAGCCCAGAACACACCAAAAGGATACAGACCGTGCCATGACAAGAAATGCAAAACCTGCCAACACATCTCCACCACCCCCACTATTACTACACCCCACAACAGAGCCATCAGCATCCCTGGATCTTACAGCTGCACCTCCAGAAATGTGATATATCTCATCCAATGCACCAAATGCCCTGATGGAAGATATGTAGGAGAGACCAAACAACAACTGCGCACCAGAATGAACGCACACCGGAAATCTATCAGAGACAGAAACACCCAATTACCGGTGGGGGTGCAATTCTCACAGGAGGGCCACTCTCTCTCCAATCTCTCAGTCCTGATCCTCAAAGGAAAC